AACCTTGACAAAGGAGATTTAGGTAGACCTTAAATAGAAAAGCATACGATCGAATGCAATTAGTTGATTAAGTAGTTTTATTTGTATATAGGGTAGGCATACACTTATAAGCCATATGTAGTCAAGATTAGAGTATGAACTTAATGAATTTTTCTTAAATTTATTTTGGATAGACATATAAAAAGTAAATTGGAATAGATATTTTTGTAAGAAACTCGACAAAACCTTGTAAATAATTTAAAACTCTAGGTTAACAACTTAATTCATTGAAGTAATTTAAAAGAAAGAGAGAGAGAAAATATTTAGATAAAGTATTGAGGGATATTATAATTATAGATTTAATAGTTGATAGAATTTTTAAAAACAAACTTGTTATTTAGTTTTAGTTTTAGTTTGTTAGTTTTAATTTTTTTAATAATTTTAAATTTAATTGTTTGAATAAGATTAGGGCGTATTAATTTTAATAGTTAGCAAGTAGGGAAATTCAATTCTCCGTGGCAATGAATTCTACTTTAATCCTTACTTGCTAACTATTAACATTAACACATCCTAATCTTATCGAAACAATTAAATTTAAAATTATTAAAAAGAAAAATTAAAACAAACAAAATAAAACTAAAACTAAATAACAAATTTGTTTTTGAAGATTAAATCAACTACCAAAACTAATATTATGATTTCCTTCAATACTTATCCGAATATTGTCTCTCTTAACTTACTTTAATGGATTAAGTTGCTAACCTAGAGTCCTAAATTATTTACAAGTCTGTATCAAGTTTTTTGTAAAAATATCTCTCCCAAATAATATACTATATATCTATGTAAATTAAGTTGAAGAAAGATTCATTAAGTTCATACTTTCATCTTGGCTACGCATGGCTTATAGGTGTATGTCTACCCTATATGCAAATTAAATAACCTAATCAACTAAGTGCATTTGATCATACACTATTCTATTCAAGATCTACCTAAATCTCTTTCGTCAAGGTTTAACTTAGGTTTCTAGATCAATCTAATTGGTGATCAAGACAATTAGAAGCATTAAAAACAAAATAGAATAAACAACTTAAAACCATTAAACTTAAGTAAAAGAGAGAAATAATTTAGCTACATACTGAGTTCAATCATAATCTTAAATAACTAAATTAATTCTCATAATGTCACACATGATCATCAAATAAAGTTTAAACATTGAAACCAAACCAAGAAAAATAAAGCATAACAAAAAGAATAAAAAAACTCTAAGAGTTGAAATCTTGATCTCTAAATCTTCTTGAATTCTTCAATTTCTACTCAGTTCCAATGAGACTTTTCTTCAATGATTTTATGGCTGAATCTTAGCTTTAAATCTTGTATTGTCATGCCTTTAAAAGTTCTTTGAAAGGTTGCATAAATAGGGCTCAACATCGAGTCAAAAAAGAAGTCTAAATGCATAAGGAGTTTTCTTACTTTTTGGGCTTAAACTTAGCTATTCTCGTCAGAGGCCATGGCCTACCTTCAGGTGAGCCTTAGCCTCAAGCATTCTGTTGCTTGAAATGTGATTTTTTTGTTGGGGCACCGTAGCTTACCTCCTCCAAGGCTACAAATTTGTTTCATTTGTTTTGGACTACTATAGTGCTTCAATTTCAACAAGGTTTTTGACAACCTTCCAGGACAAATTGGGTAAAGTGTAAGCAAGAAAATTGTATACCTGTCTCTTATCTTTACTATGGTCTAAAAATCAGCTCATTTGGTGTTCTGTAAAGAAAGTTATAATCAAAATACCAAGACATATAAAGTGAAGGTTTTCATCTCATAAACACTTAACTTGATAATTTTTCACCCTTTTAATTGCACACTTACAAAATCAGTAAATTAATCAATAATAACATATCTTACGCACATTAATGCTAATTTAAGTACAAATTTAACTAAGATTAGGTTGACTCACTTACTTAATTAACTTAAAATAATTAAATAAAACTTACTAATTTCTATACATTACTACAATAATTAAGCTAAATTATTATCAAAATTAAGTCCAAATAACTCTATATCATATAGAGATCAATATCTAGAACTATTAACAGAAGATTTATTCACAAAAAAATTTGTCGATCGTCATTTCGATGAAACTATTTTTTCAACAATAAAAAGAGAAAATAAGCAACTGGAAAAAGAAATTTCTTGGAATGTATTATCATTATCTAGTTTTGATCCTCACACAAATCAATGTGAACTTGAAGTTCAAAAGATAATTCATTTGTAAAATTTAACAAATCAGTTGCCAGACGTATTTATTGACTTAGAAAAAATATCTAAATCTCCAATACTAATTGTAATTGCTCCTACTAGAATTGATGTCCTCGCAAGACAAGGCACGACAAAAGTGTGGGAAATCAATCTATTCCAAAAATAAAATTCTCAAAAACGAAAAGTAGTACATATACAAAATGGTCAGAAAGAAGAAACAAAAACACTAAAAGAGACCCTAACATAATTAATAAAATTCAAAAAGAAATTCAAGTACCTAAAACCATTGAAAATGAGAGATCTCAATAAATTATGTTATGATGAGAAAAAATGGAGCCAAAATGAAATAAACGTCAATGATATTTTTGCATAAATGTAAAGTTCAATATTATAAAGAAAATGGAAATCTTAAACCTACATATATTAAAGAATGTAGACATAGAAATGATTGGTCAATATAGAATGACGATGTAAGGGCCCAAGTCTAACCACTGGCCCAACAACTTTTTGGGCCTAAACCACATAGCCCTCAAAAGCTTAAGCTCATGTCGTTAATAATGACAAACTTGGATTGTTATATAAGTCTTAACAATCACATTCATATCTGATATGAAATGTGGGGTATCACAATCCCACCCACTCAAATCCTTAATATCCTCATTAAGGAATTACAACACGTCCACGGGACCAAAATCTCACTAAAGCAATGTGCATGCCCATATCAAACTGACGCAAGCTCTAATACCATTTATAACGACCCAAGTCCAACCATTAGCCCAATAGCTTTTTGGACCTAAACCACGTGGCCTTCAAAAGCTTAAGCTCAAGTTGCTAGTAATGATGAACTTAAATTGTTATATAGGTCTTAATAATCACATTCATATCTAATGTGGGATGTGGGGTATCACAAATGTAATCATGATGGAATTGAATTCACTTGCAAAACATAAAGCTTTCAAACCTGGACTACCAAATGGTGTAAAACGAATGGGATATAAATGAATATTTGCATGAAAACAAAATGAAGAGAAAATGAGATTGTTAAATATAAAGCATGACTTGTCACATAAGGTTTTATCTAAAGACATGGTATTAATTATAAAGAGACATATTCTCTTGTGGTGGATGCAATTATAATTACATATTAACTAGTTTGGCAATACATGAAAAGATGAAAATGCATCTAATGAATATAATTACAGCCTATTTATATAGTCCATTTGATATTGATATTTATAAGAAAATTCATGAAGGATTTAAGTTGCTTGAAGCAAAAAAATTTGAATTCTTGAAAAATTTATTCAATCAAATTAAAATAAATATATATGTGGATTAAAACAATCTGAACATATGTGGTATAATTGCCTTAGTGAATATTTGTTGAAAGAAGGCTATAAAATGATCTTATATACCCATGTGTTTTCATGGAAAGATTAAGATTTAAATTTTTCATAATTGTTGTTTATGTTAATAACTTGAATATTATTGGAACTCTTGAAGAGTTATCAAAGCCATGGATAACTTAAAGAAAGAATTTAAGATGAAAAATTTTGAAAAAGCAAAGTTTGGTTTGAGTCTTCAAATTGAGCACTTGATAAATGAAATTTTTGTTCATCAATCATATTATATAGCAAATGCTAAAACGATTTTATATGGACAAAGCATATTTATTGAATTCACTAATGCTGGTAAGATCACTGGACGTGAAAAAAAAAACCCTTTCCAACCTCGTGAGGATGATAAAAAACTTTTTGATCCTGAAATATCATATCTTAATAAAATTAGAGCACTAATGTATTTTGCTAGTAATATACAATCTGGTATAACATTTGCTGTAAATTTATTAGTAAGATATAGTTCTTCTCCAACTCAAAAATATTGGAATAAAATTAAACATATGCTCTGATATCTCTGAGGAATAATAAACATAGGCTTATATTACTCAAATGTATAAATTTATTAATTCATACATTAATCAATAAAAAATTAATTTGTCAAGATATTCTTTATTTTTTTCCTCAAATATTGAACTTAGTACATGTATAGTGTATTATGATTATACGAATATTACTTAATTACCAAATTACGAAATATCATTATTCGTGACGAGTAAATTATTGAAAATGTCATTAAAATAACAAAGAAAATGAAGTTAAAGATGATAGTTCTATACTGAAGCTTGTTTTGCACAAAAATACACTCAAAACAATAATCACATTGCATAATTTCCTCCTACAATATGAGAACACTACACTGAAACTTAATGCACTAAGAAAAGTTAAAGATGATGCCTAAAGAGATATCAATTTTAAGAAAAAATAAGTAACATTAGAGTCATAAGACCTCCAAATTGAAACATGTATATAAGGATATTATTAATTTTGATGTATAAAGATATTATTAATTTATATATTAAGTGTGACCTGTATTTTTTTTCAAATATAATAACTTATAAATTTAGTAAATTATTAATTTACCATATTGGTCCAAATCGAGACTGATTAAAAATATTATTTAATGAGCTTATTAATTTATATAAGTTTTACTGTAAACTGAATTAAATCAAGATTAAAATTTAAGAGATTATTAGTTTACAAATAAGCCTCTCACTTTATTTGTTTGTAAAGGCATAATCCAATAAGATCTTATTGTTTCTAAATTATTTAGCTCTGTTTTTATAAATTATATTTCATAATAATTTGTGATTTAAAAACTAAATAACAGTAAAATACCAAATAGCTTATTATTACGTGACATTATTTCATTGGATGAAAACTGAAAACTATGCACCAACCGGATATGGAAGGGTAACATCAACCAACGGACAGGAGCCTTGTAACGACCATGAAATGGGCGCCATCGACCTCTATCCAAACTGCGAACCGCAGAGCATGTTTCTTCACTGCTCAGCCACGAGGCTAATTTGCAAGGCAAAAGAGGTGGCGCAAGTTGCCCCCCCGCGCGCGATAGCCTCGCTCACCATCGGCTCTGCTGCGAACTTAAGCCGCACATTCGTCACCATGAACAAAGACGACGTCGTAGTGGATCCCGTTGAGCTCGAAGCCATATTCGAACAGAAACGATCTCTCAGATCCAAAGTACGCAAAGCTCTCAAAAACATGGACCCAATCCAGAGATCTCAAGAAGGTAGGTACAAATAAGTTTATTTTTTTATTTATTTTGATTGCATTTTAAGTGTTTGTTCAGTTATGTCAAAGAAAATTTCTCTTCCTTGGGTTTCAGATAATGCAATTCAGAATATGGTTCTAGAATCCTCATGGTTCAAAGCTAGTAAGAGCTTATGTGCTTACATAAGTTCTCCCACTTTACGCGAAGCCGATACTTCAAGGATTGTGTCGGATGTTTTGTCAAGTCCAGCCAAAGGTGTTTTTTTCTTTTTGGGTTACTTTTCAAGTTACATAACATGAATTCATTGTTAAGCTAGGGGAGATTCTGGTTGCTGATTTTTCTTTTTTTTTTATTAAAAAAAAAAACTTAAAGAGAGGAAGAAGCTTTATGTTCCGCGTGTGGAGGACATGAATAGCAATATGAAAATGCTAATGATATCCGGCCTTAATGATCTCATCGAAAAAACAATGAACATCTTGGAACCCGCCTTAGTAGATTCTGATGGGAACAAACGTGAAGATGGTATGATTTCTAGATATTTACTTCTATGTTTGCATTTTAAGCTGGTGTTTGTTCCTTAGAACGGAAAAATTAAGTGTTCCATATATGGGTGATGCTTCATTCTCGCCGTGGTACTCTGCATTAACTGGTACAAATGTTTAAGAATGTTTGTGTAGTCATCTCTTTAGGTTCATTGGAATTAAGATTGGAAATTGGCAGCTAAGACTATGACATCATCACTGCTGCATTGGAATTTCTGTTTCAACTTATCTTGTAAAGGGGTTTGTTACCTAGTATATTGTGCATCTCAGAATCAAATGACTCACATTGCAATTCTAAGTTTAATGAGTCAAATTTAATTTCTGTGGTGCAGAGTTATAAGCCTTGCTGCTTCTGATTGGATTAAGGAAGAAGCATCTACTTGTTTTGATGGCTTTTCTGATCAATGGCTTTCTGAACTTGCCATGTTGATCATTTATAAGATGTGATTAACTTCAAACAGATGAAACCATATTTGCTTTATTATTCCACCATTAGAGCAACCTTTTTTTCAAGTCACTCTAACACCACATCACCTGACGAATTCAATTTAGAATAGTCCCATTGATGCTTATTGGTCTTCAAGATGTCTGTTGGCTGTTCCATGTTTCTCTTAAAAATGAAAATAATAACATCTTTTGTTTCCCATTTGAATTTCAACTGTAGGCAGTACTAAAGTTCTTTGCCTTTTTAGTCTCAAATAGTTGTGAAAGTTTTACCAGGAGAATAGTATCTATAACTTTTTGACATCACCTGGAGTACGATCCCCAAACCTGTTTCTTATTATTCATCATGGCATACTCTGCATATATATTTTCCTTGGTAAGGCTGATACAATTTTTGTGTTGGTAAGGCTGCTAATCATTGGAAAATACCTAGTGCAGTTATGCAGGCAAGTCATCCAGTCGACCTGTTTATCGTACCCGGTATTTGTCTTCATCCTTCCATTAGTTTCATGAACAATGAAGAATTCTGTTGAACTTTTATTAGTCTCTGATGTAGCTTTCATATTCACACTTTCTAACACCTTCTCTCCCTCAAAATCAATATGAAAAAATGGGAAAATTTACACTTCCCACATCCACACTTATAGTGGAGATGCAGAGCGTGGAGTACCCATATGTATTTTTCCTTTCTTATCCTGCTTCATTTCTCTTTCTGGTTTGTATATGAAAACTTTCACTCTGTTTCTATTTCTTTCAGGGCTTGCATTTGATAAATCTGGAAGCCGTCTGGGCCGTAGTGGGGGGTGAGTCAATGCATTTTAGCTTTCTGGTTTATTGCATTATTCTTGTTCATTTTTGGATGGCATTGTCATGAATCATATTAAATACAGTCATCATGGTTCCATATTAGCTATACTGGTTTTTATGGTTCTTGTCTTCAGCTATAAATATATGATTATTAGACTCACTGTGACTGCTCTGACATAAGCATTAGTTGTTGACCAAAGAAGTTGTAACAGACTTAGATATATAACTATTTGTCTTTTTGTTTACTTCATTAGCATTTTGATTATATTGTCTTTAGACATTTTTGCTTAATTTTCTTTCGTTATTTCGATGCATGATGTTATCTGGAAGTTACTATGATTTGTTCCTAAAGAACTATCAAGAGCTCACAAAGAAGAGGGGATGGAAGCAGCCCCTTCTTGGTAATTCCCTCTGATGCTGGATCTTCACTTAATTGCACAGGAATAATACATGTTTCAGGACCTAATTGCACCCACTATATATATTGTGTTATATATTCTACTGTTTGAAATGTATGCTTGACTATTATTTGTTTGCAGTTGGATTGTCATATTCTGTGCAAATTATGGAAGAAGGAGCAATACCTGTCACTCCCTTTGACATTCCCGTGCATGCTCTTGTATCTCCGGCTGGTTTCACTCCAATAAGCACAGCTGCTTTGAGGAGATGTGATTGAGCAAAGCTATCTCTTTTCTGTGGCAATAACATGTGTCTTTCATTGATTTGGAAGCTGGGTTCTAACGAAAATGAAAAAGTATGGTTAGCATCTCAAATTGGTGAAGCTTGAACAGGACATATAGAGTTCCTATTTTATTTGCTTATTAGTGGAAGGAATTTCAATTGGATGGCTTTGCTTTGACAGAAGTCTTGAAAGTGGTAATTGCGGAAGTGGAAATATTGTGGATCAGGGTGATTTTCTTGCTTTCTTTGGAAGTTCAAAGTTTATGATATTTTTGAATTATGATGCTGTTGAAAGCAGTAGTCTGGCTGCGAAAATGTAATCAATCGTAACAGGAGAGAGTATCATGGTAGACAACCACAATCAACTTGCCCGGGAGGTTATTAACAAAGAAGCTTGCAGTCAAGATGCTTTCCAGGCTGCCTTCATATTGCTTCTGCTGCTTCTGTGGGCAACAGGAGTAGTTTACTGGACAAAATATCGTACTTGAAAAGTTTTGTTATAGTTCCCAACTACATATTCTCTTTTTTCCTTTAATTCTTCTTTTGATAAATTCATGTCTCGCTGGAACTTGTATGTGAGTACGTGCCAATGAGGAACTATTTACTTTGCACCCCTGACGACCTGTGAAGTAATTCCTGCGATTCCATTTCCAGTGCAAGGAAAAATACATTGCCTGATGCAAGTGCCTAGTCTGCAATGTCAAATTGACGACAGTGAGTATGGCACAAGGATCTTAAAAATGTCTCGTAGGGTTCTGATTTTCAAATTTGGGTTTGGGTTTGGGTTCTTTACATATCTTGGTTCATTTCTTCTATAAAATTATTTTACAAGTTGATGAATCAATATGGTACTAGGCCATAAAGCCCTGGTAAAAGAAAATAGCATGACCAAGTGAGAATGTACAATTATACAATCCTAATCCTACTCGAGGCAATATCGGCTTAATAACAATATTTTTAAATATTACAAGTAAAAAATGTAATGCTGTCAAGTACAAGCTTTAGTGGCGGAGAACGGTTCTAATGATGCTGTGAAATAAGTTATGTATGCACCATGGAGAATGAGAAGATGGATTCTTCACATTGAGAGGTTGAAGATCCAAGTGGGATTGGGGAAGATATTGTTTTTTTTTTTTTAATAATTGACAGAAGGAGAATTTGAATTTTACTGATTAAGTAGGAGAATCGTACACTAATTAATGAATCAAATGCTCGGTGCTAAGAAAATATATTATTAGGAATTTGAGAATTTGATGCTTTGGAAAGCAAATATATTCTCATGTTTAATTTCATTTAATTTATTTGTAATAAAACTACATTTTGATAATAAGACGAAGACTTTGTTTTAAAAAAGAATTCATTACCTAATTGTATGTGAGTTAAATTATTTTAAGAAATTCTCAAGGATTACTTAAATAATGTTCAAACAAATTTAATTATTTTATCATAATCAAAACTATAATAATTTTAAAGCTAAAAATCTCTCCTTTTTTGATATTACAAAATCATGAGTATAGTTTGCATTTGAAATGATTTTAAAATCTCTCCTACAATATATGCATAAAATTAAATTTGCTCATAAATCTTCTTCCCTTTTTTGTTATATCAAAAGATTAAGAAAAGTGAGCATTAAACACTTAAGCTCAAGAAATAATGGTTAGCAAAATCCATCAAGTTAAGCATTAAGACCATGGATATATAACTATAAAGTCACCAAGTCATCATATATATGCACTTAATATCCTCAACCAGGTCATTAAGAAATATACCCATTAAGCACATTCAAGTATTAATTCATCAAGAGAATCATTAATAAGAATGCCATATGTATATATCTCTGTAAGCAAAATGTGGACATAATATTTATGAAGTTCAAGAAAGATAAGCATAAAGATGTTCAATAAGCACATAAGCCATATTTCAACTCCAATACCAAGTGTTAAAGCTCAATACACCAATTAATAGATATAAGTAAAATTTTCCCCTTTGTAAAAACACAATATCAATTATGAGTGATGGAATCATTTTACAACTCATTATACCAATTAGTAAAGCACTACTAAAGACTTCTCTTATTATTAAACATTCCAAGCATATCAACTTCAAGTCTCCAAATCTCTAGAATAGTTGGTTGCTGCCTCTCCCTTTAAACATCTAAAAAGGTCCTCAAATCTGCTCCAAGTAACCTAATTTCCAAAATTTCATCAATTTTTTGTTTATGGAAAATCACCTAGTGCTGCGGCCTTGATTTATTGGTACCGCTGACTTTGGTTTTTTTTTTTATAGTAGTGCTGCAGCACTACTTCTCCAGCTCTGCAACGCTGAGCTCTCAGAAAAATTGTATTATGAGCTTTCTTTCACCAGCGCTACAGCCTTGTTCTCCTAGTAATGCAGCAGTCTATCAATTTCAAATGTGATTTTCACTTTGATCTAATTGAACTGGGAAAAGTGAAAAACATAAAAGTTGTAGCCTATATCTTAACTTTCCAATGAATTAAGAATCATATCAATTGGACTTCTAAATTGAAAGATGTGATCCAAATACTGCATCATGTTCAGTCCATGCATATTGCTGTAGTGCTCTGACTTAGACAAACATTTTGACCATGATGCAATCTGAACTGGGTGAAGTGGTAAACATAAAAGCTGTATCCTTTTTTCTTAGAAGTCTAGTGGTTGAAAGCTCACTTCCTTTGGAGTTCTGTAGACAAAGATATGGCCAAAATACCACAATATATACGAATGAAGCTATCACCATACTTGCACAGATTTTCATCAAATAATCTTTTTTCATTAAAATTCCTACAAAAGTAATAAGAGAACTTACCAATACTACTCTTAAAGTAATTTAAAACAAAATAACATAAAATTTAACTAAAATAACTTAAATTAACTACTCAATAAGTAATCAAACTTAAAAGAAAAACACCTAAAATGTTCCTATTCGAACCTAAAATCTCAAAGATTTAACTACTTAAGCCCCAAATATGTCAAATCACTCTTATATAATAAGTTATCAATAATTGGATATATAGTCTTCATTGGCAATTCTTTAGTAAGTTGGAAATGCAAAAAGCAAACAGTAGTTACAAAAAGCTTTATAGAAACAGAGTATCGAGCCATGACCACTGTTATTATGAGATTATTTGCTTGAAACAATTATTAGGTGATTTTGGAGAAAAGTCAAAAATTCTAGTAAGGCTCTATTGTGATAATCAATCTGCCATTTATTTATGTCGAACTCCAGTTTTTCATGAATGTTCAAAACACATTGAAATGGATTGTCACTTTGTGCATGAAAAGGATTTAGCAAAGCTTATTGAACCAGTACATGTTGCAACTGAGTTTCAATTGGCAAGCTTGTTTACCAAAACATTGCAACCTAAACGATTTCATCTGTTGTTAAGCTAGTTGAATGTTCATAACATTCACAATTCACATTGAGGGGGAGTATTAGCAGAAGGCTAGAATTTGGAATTTTTCTTGAGGAAATAGGGGATCGATGAAGAAAAGAGCTAACGTGTTTCTCATATGGGCCTACATCAAAAAAGCAAAAACGCATGGTATAACTTGAAGAAACCAAACGCAGCATTTAGTCTAAGCTTCTTTTAACTTAACAAGTTACTGTCTAGTTATTTTCTATAATTACTCTTTAATTGTGGTTAATAGTTAGTTGCTGACCAGTAGTTAGTTGGAATTAATAACAAAGTCACTTTTTCATATGGGTTTATATCAAAGAAGTAGAAACGCACCATATAACTTGAAGAGGCCAATGCAGCATTTAGTCTAAGCTTCTTTTAACTTAACAAGTTACTGTCTAATTATATTCTGTAGTTACTTTTTTAATTGTGGTTAATAGTTAGTTGTTGACTAGTAGTTAGTTGGAATTAATAACAGAGCCACTTTTTTCATTTCAGTCTAATAAATAGGGGTAGTCAAACTTTTTCATAATGATGAGAGGGAATATATTTATTTGAGTTCCTTTTTTAAATGGTCCTCATGCATAAGGCATTTATGATAATAGGCCTCCTCATAATTTTAACTGTTTTTAGCCAAGAGAATTTAAAATTTGGACAAAGTTATCCTTACTAAAAACTGACCCAATTTTTGACTTGAGCCTCAAACCTGAACTATTAACAGGTCAAGTATGTTTTACAAGGTGCGTACCTCCTCAGTTCTCATGACAAACTTACATCTCCTCAGAAGCAATTTTGTCGAAAGCATTTCCTCGCCAGTTCAACTTTCGAGCATTTTCACAGTGGTAGAAACATTTTAGAGTGGTTATTATTTGCATAAAGGTAGTTCACATAGTGAGTAATGAGAGGAAATTCACATTAGATGGAGAAAAGTACAATATATTTTTATTTTATTTTGAACCATGTGGAGAAATGTTTTGAAGGCTATTGTTATTCTTCATGTTTTTCATTTATGATTTTTGAGCATAAACGTATGCATATTGCTTGTTCATATTGATATTCTTGTTGTTTGAAATTATTGAATATAAATATGAAGGTGGTATTGTTGGTGTTGTTGGGGTCGAAAGGTGATCGGGCATGTGTGATTGGTTGATATGTATGTGTTATGACCTTTTGATATGAATTAGGTTTAGGGTTTAGATATTGCATGACTGAGGGCTTGCTTACGTGGTTGGCACTTTATGCATGACTGGATTTTGGCATGGGTACACTTAGGGTGTGCGTGATTGCATTAGGGTTTAACATTGCGAGATAGGTCAATATGTGATTGCGTGATTGATTGATAGGTCATTGCATGACAGCATGACTAGATTTGGCATAAGATCACTTAAGGTGTACGTGATTGCATTAGGGTTTAACATTACGTGACTAGTTAATAGGTCATTGTGTAACTGATTGATAGGTTATTGCGTGACAGCATGACTAAATTTTGGCATGGCGTCACTTAGGTGTGCGTGATTGCATTATGATTTAACATTGCATGACTGGTTGATAAGTCATTGTGTGAATATTGTTCAGGCATGGTGTCACTTAGCGTGTGTGTGGTTCAATTGGTTGTTCTTAGCATTGCATGACTTGTTTATAGATAATTATGTGATTTAATATTAGTAATTACGTGACTTATTGATAAGGCATGACATGACTATTTTTTGTATGAAATTGCACAAATGTCATAATGGCATTAAATTTATCTAAATGGCATTGCATGATCAACATTGTGTTCATTCTATATTATTTTAGGTCAACTGTGATGCTTTAATATGTATATGTTGATTTACTTAATAATCCATGCTCGACACTTGTATTAATCATTTTGTTTCAAGGTTGTCTAAAAACAGTTAAAATTATTATGAGGATCATTTTTGGAGTGAGCTTTTGAGGAAGGCTATTTCTCAAAAATTTCCTTTATTTTCTTTAATCTACAATGATGGTATTAACTAAAATAGGAATGTTATCTGTTTTATATTACAGATGGCCAGCACAGGAACAAAGTAAGATAATATGGAACTTTGCTTTGTGTGCCAAGGCACTGATGGGGGGTTCAATGTTGGCATTAACATCCACTATAAATGGTTGCATCTGCATGTAATACGTGAGATGCTGTGCAAACTAAATTAGTTGTAAACCTTAAAAAGAACATGCTTTAGGCATATGATGAACGTCAAATCAAAGAAGAGTTTATTCTATGCCAATCTCGTGCACAACCTAATGCTACACAGAATCAATGAACTCGACCTCATCAAGGGTGAGTTATGATTTGCCATAGGTAAAATGAAGGCTCGATTCTCGAAGAGGGAGCTTTGCTTAGTGACAAGATTGAAGTTTGGTACCCTACCGGCCTTTATTGTCAATCCCTATGAGGTCGTCCCTATGAGGTCGTCCTTAGAGGAATTTACCAGCGATATTGGGGACTAAGAAACAAGGTGAAGATACAACAAGTTTTAGAGACGTTTAAGGGAGGGCAATTTCAGTAAGAGGGAGAGGCAACGAAGAAGGCCCTCATCTTGATTGTGAGTAATGTTTTAGTTGGTCAAGACTACAAATGATCAATGACTCCATGGTTGTTGTCATTGGTTGAGAACATCGACGACTGGAATACATTCCCATGAGGCACATATATTTAGAGTTTGACCATCGATTACTTGATGAGTGGTTTTAAACCCCCAACAGTGGGAGTAGCAGAGCAAAAATGTTACCACCTCTATAGATTCATATGGGCATTTCAGG